TTCTTCTTCTTCTTCTTCTTCTTCTTCTTCTTCTTCTTCTTCTTCTTATTATTATTATTATTATTATTTTCAGTTCCTGGTTCAGGGCAGGACCTAGAGCTAAAAAACAGATTTTGGACTGATTGACTTGGGGTGATTAGGCCTGGGTTTCTGTTAGTCTCAATCTTATAGGATATTGAATTTGCAAGGGTCAAAGAAAAAAAATCTATTTTTATCTTACATTGAAAAGAGGATATTGACATTATTTTTAACTAATCCACTACTGAATAAGTAATGTAGACCACAATGTATTAAACCATTCTCCTGCATTTAAAGTTGAAATTTCATGTTTTTCTCAATATTTAATATGTGCCTTTCAAGCCTATTTTGCAGCTCTTTAATTACTTATAAAATTATGTAGAATATTTCATGAAGTTGAAATGATTTTAGCTTCAGACTACTTGATAAAATGAAGAGCTTGTTCATTTCAGATCTGACTAAATGCAACATAATTCTTTTGGTTATTTTGTTGGTCAACTTCAATTAAATATTCATCGAGCTTTAAACGAGACCCTAAGACTATGAAATATTTACATGCCCTGATGGGATTGTGAGCTACAGACTAGATCCTAGTTAATACCCGGAGCAAATTATAAAGTGCTTTCTCCATTAGTGGGTTCAACAAAACAAGTCAACACCTGTTAATCATTTTTTTCTTAAAAATGAGACACTTTCAACTTGTTGCCAGTTTTTCCAATAGCTCTTAATCCTAGCAATATTTCTAGGCTGTGCTCTCAAACAATACAAAATGAAAATAAAGGCAATTCTTTGGAGAGTGTATTAAAATTAATATTTGTAGTTTGTGCTCTTGGTGCTACCCAGATCTGCATGGGGGCTGGGCACTACTCCCATCCCCCAGCTGCAGCAGATGCTTTGATAAGCAGCTTGCACCTGTAATCCTCTCTAGAGACTTGCTCTTGACAGATGGGAGTTTCAGCTCCTAGAGACACCTGGGAAGTTACACTGGCTTTTTTTTACCCCAAAGTGGGCAACCAATGACTGACTGATTCCTTGCCTGAAAATGTGACTGTGCTGTGATTCAGGTCCATGCCCCCTCGTGCATTAGCCAAGACTTAACTTGATCTGCGAATGCATCCTTGCTTGGTTCGTTTCCCTCTCCTTTCCTGTTTACCTCACTCCCTAACAGGTTTCTCTCCAAAGTGTGCCCTTAGGAAATTGCATGTGCCTAATCGGTTTTAGGTTCAGCTTTTATGGAACCCAATCTAGGATAACATTCCATTTTTTAATCCATAATTCTGAAAGTGACCATAAGAATGCCTTGCTCAGAGAAAGAACACCCAAAAGAGAAAATGCTGTTTGCAATCACCAGAAAGAGCCAGTATTTGTTACTTTGCATGATTGATCCTCATGGTGGATGCTTCTTGCTCTTTATCCTTCATTAATTCACCCTTCATTCTTACAGACAGTTTTATGCAGGCTGGAAATGTGCCCGCTTAAAAGTGTTCACCTTTCCAGAATCCTTGTGGCTAGGGCTAGCCATGTGAGTCACTTCTGGCCAAAGATATATTTGTTAAGGTTTATTGAGTAAGGCTTTGGGGACAGTTACTGTTTTACTAATGAAAAGAGTTAGGCTCTGCTGGTATGATTTTTTCTGCCTTTACCCTTCATTTATTTTCTCCTCTGAAATTAGGGCATAACTCTTTGGATCTGGCAGCCATCTTGTAAGGACAGCAGAGATAAATAGAACATAGACCCCTGTTGGCATCATGGAGCCACCATTTCAGACTCAGGCTGCCTATCTCTGGGCTTGTTATATGAGAAAAATCAACCCCTATTTCAGAGGTTCTCAACCTGGGGAGGCATTTTGAAATGTATGGAAGTGTTCTGGGTTGTCACAATGACTAGGAGCAGGGCTCAGTTAGGGTAAAGCATGTGAGTTTGCTTTGGGTGCACCATTTCAGGGATGTCCTGGAACTTAACAATCAAGTTAGGTATTTGAGTGTAGCACATGAAAAATTAATGCAGAAAATTCATGGTGAACAAAATACCTATATTTTATGTAAAGACAGGATCAGCAACTGTGCCAGGTAAGCCATATTGGAGCCTGAGGCTAAAGGAAAAATCAGTCACACTGATCCCATCTTTATTTAACATTTTTGGTATTTTGAGATTTTGTTCATTATAATTTTTTTGCATTAATTTTGATATTTTAAACCACATCATCCTGGGGATAGCCCTTATTAGAAGGTGCTGCTGGGGGCCAAGTGTGTATTGCACATCCTGCAATGTGAGAACAGTGACCCAACACTTGGAAGAACTGTTCTACCTGTAATGCCAATATGGTTCCCATTGAGAAACATGGGAACCTGCTTAAAACCCCTAGCACTGGAGTGGAGGGGGACAGTGTACAAACAACTAAAATAATTTTGCTTGATATTGTGCCCACCTGGAAAGGGTGAGTGATGTCATTGAATTCACTCGAATTAAAGAAGGCCATGATATATCATGGTATGAACAAAACCACTCCATATCAGGTTAGAACACAGTCAGAACACAGACATTGTCCAAGCACAAAATGCATCATTCACACCAACTGTTCCTGGTTATCATTCCAGTACTCCCACAAGGAAGAAGCAAGTCTAGACACTTGTCCTCACTGTATAAATGAGGAATCGTTTGCAAGGATAAGTGGAGCAGAGGTCAGAGTCTGCGTTTAGATGTTGGAGCCACTGGTTCTGATCATGACCTGCCATTAAATAGCTATGTGATTGTGGCTTAGTCCCTTTATCTTTCTGAGCCACAGTTTCCTTCACTTTTTATAACACAAGGTTTGGCTAGTTAATCTCTAAGGACTTTTTACCTCTAGTAGTCTATGACTAAAACTTGTCTAAAGTCAAGTTTATCTAATTCATTCTAGAACTGAGCCCAGACCCTGGATCTCTTGGCTTGGGGCTCTTTAGAATTACATCAGGCACCAGCTACTTCATCATTAATTGAAATTTGGC